TCCTCCGAGAGAGGGAAAGTGACATCATCAGATCTGAATCAGGATACAAAAGATAGTGGTGATTCAGCACACACACACACACACACACACACACACACACACACGTATACACAAAGTAGCACGCTGTGGTTTTTGAAAATCGGTGTGTGTGTGTGTGTAAATGTGTGTATTGCCCACAGCACACATTACTTATTGGCAGGAATAACCAACACACACACGCACACACAGATCCTGGGTGTTGGCTCTTTCAATGGGCGAGAGACCACAGGCATCCAGAGAGAAAGAGAGATAAAAAACAGAGAGATAGAAATTAAAGGGCAGCTTCAGGCTGTTTTCACGCTCATGTCGAACGTCCATGTAAACAGCTGTGAGTGTGATCATGTGACCACGTCTTGGTCCCAACAGCCCCTGGTTTTATTGAAGTGTCTCCATCATTCGATCAATGTCACAACAAAGATCGGCTCCTGGTCTTTAAATCCAAAGAAAGGGTTTTCATCATCTGTGGGTCGGACATTTTTTTACATTTTACTTTTCAGTGAATGAAATTTGTTATTGAGAAAAAATTTCAAATTCAAGTTCAAGTTGTTTGAGTGACAGAAACAGAGATGTTATGTTTTTTCTCATAAAAACTATTGAAACATTCACGTGAGTGAAGCTCATTCTTCAACGATTCATTTAAATTGTTATTAAATCTTGTTTTTCCTCTCAATTGACTAATGGTAGAGTTTGACACACAGGCTAGGTGTTTCCCTTTGTTTCCATTCTTACTGCTAAGCTAAGCTAACAGAGCACAAGAGAACCAGAATGATTACACACACGAACGTGTTTAACTACTATGAATATTCTCATTCATCTCTGGAACAGAAGTTTTGTTGATATCAAAACTAATAATGACATAAAGTAAAGAACAACCAAACAAAATGAAAAGAAAAGGAGAGAGAAAGAGACAGAGAAGAGAGAAACAGGAGAGAGAGACAGAGGAGAGAGAAACAGGAGAGAGAGAAACAGGAGAGAGAGAAACAGGAGAGAGAGAAACAGGAGAGAGAAACAGGAGAGAGAGAGAGAGAAGAGAGAGAAACATGAGAGAGGGACAGAGAAGAGAGAGACAGGAGAGAGAGACAGGAGAGAGAGACAGAGAAGAGTAACTTTAGAGGACTGAGGTAGTGACAAAATAAAAGAGGAAGGAAGTGTAATGATGGAGTGATAGAAGAGAGTGAACAAGAGAGTGAGAGTTGATGGAGTGACCAAAATAGAGAGAGAGAGAGAAAAAGAGAGATGGGAACAGACTGATGTAAAAAGATTGATAGTGATTTAAGAGAGCGAGAAAGAGAGAGAGTGATGAAACAGAGAGCGAGAAAGAGAGAGAGCAGCGCTGCCACTGAGCCTTGTTGCTAGGCAACTGAGCAGCTCCTCTTTGAAGTTTTTCCTCATTGTTTTTTTTTCTTTTTGAACAATGAGGTCACAGCGAGGCTCAGCAGTAACCATGGCAACCATCTTGGGGATGGGGGGGTAGGGGGGGTAGTCTTTGTCTAGGGCCCCCTGGAGTCTAGGACCGCCACTGCTGCTGTCATCACACCTGAGCGTCTTCACCTGGTGACGCCACTCATCGGAAGCATCTGATTGGTCGAGCTCGTTAGAGGAGGCGTGGCCCAGGACAAAAAAAAACAAACAAAACACCTGTCCATCAAAAGCAAAGATGAAGAAGAAGAAGAAGAAGAGGACGAGAAACATGATGAGTCGTGTTGTGTTCAACCATGTTTTCTGCTTTAAGTGTGTTTGGGTTCTCACACAGACACACACAGACACACACAGACTCACACAGACACACACACACAGAGACACACACAGACACACACACAGACACACACACAGTCTGTTGTCATGCTGCTGCTGTTCCACGCGTCAAACATCAGACAAACCTCAGAGAAGTAAAAATAAATAACGAAAGAGACACAGAAAATTTGTTCTGCTCTGTGGCTTCGACCTCGTAAACTTCAGCTTCTAACGAACAGCTGCACACACACACACACACACACACACACAGTCCAGATGTGTTTGGTAATAGTAGCAGGGATTTTAAAAAGCAAGCATATAGATCCTGAAACCAACACAGGCCCATTGTGATTCACATACACACAGATACACACACGCACACACTCACACACAGAAGTCTATTGTCATGCATGCTGCTGGCTGTTTCACGCCAACTTAAAAGGATTAACAGGCGATCAGCATCAATTTACACTGAAGAGAGGGGGAGGGGGGTGGAAGGATAGGGGGAGACGAGAGAGAGAAAAAACAAGAGAGAGAGAGAGAGAGAGAGAGAGAGAGAGACATACAGAGACATTGTAAAGTCTGAGGTTAGAGAGTTCAAAAGTTAAAACAAAACTGATAAACATCAAACGACCAATCAATGATCTACAATCAGAGTAATTATTTCAATGAGTGAAACAACAGGCACCTGTAGACGACTCCCCCCCCCCCCCCCCCCCCCCCCCCC